GCTGGACAGCTCATTTATGAGCTGGACTTTAGTTCATTTATTGAACTAAGGGTTAGCTCATTATTAGCTAATATTTTAGTTCATTTATTATCTTACTTTTTATGCTTTTTTATGTTTGTATTCATGTTTGTCTCTTGGAATTCCAAACCGGCCTTTAGAATTCCAAGAATTTGCTTTTCCCATGAGGTGACTCCTTGGCTTCCTCCATGGCTTATTGTTTTTTGTGCTTTGCCTCTTGGAATTCCGGCTGGTCGCTGGTTTTCCCGTGCCTGGGCTCTTTCCCGAGGCCGTGGCCCCTTGGTTCCCGCTCGGCCTCCTTGGCTCCCGCGGCTACCTCTTCGGTTTCTTGGCTTGGGCTGTTTTTGCGTGAAAAGCATTTGGGTTTAATGCTTTTGATGCTTAGTTTCTTGTGTTAAATTTAATGTTAGTGTCTCTTTGTATTCCCTTTCATACCTATATATATGGGGGATTTGTAATGTTTGAAGTTAGTGGAATTAAATGTTATTTTTGGAAAAGCTTTAACCTGCAGGTTTGCTTTGAAAATCCTGCGGGCTCTTTCCACCCTTCTTTCACATCCCCTCCGGAAATCCTGCGGGCTCTTTCCACCCTTTCTTCTCGGGCTTCTAACCTCTTTCGTCTCTCCGCAAGTGCCACTCCACCTGTATCCCTCTTCTCTAAGTGAAGCAACTTTAGGGTGTCTTTTTATTTTATTTGGAGTTTGTTGAAATCATTATTTGTAGTTTTAATTTTCGCTGCTTAGTCTTATTTAAGTTACCTCTTCTTTTTGAGGTATTTTGTGTCTTCTTTTATTTAGGAAGTCTAGTTCTTTTTTGTGATAAAAAAATATAGGCTCCCTATATTTTTTGATTACATCATCATTCCATCAATCACAAACCCTAATTCACTCTCTAAAGAAAAAAATCGATCACGAAAGGCATATTATAAAGCTATGCATTTAAATATGGGTGTGTATTTTAAAAATAAGAAGATTATAACACGCATATATATGTAAATATTTTCCCACATTAATCTAGGCTAGTTTCATTCCTTCAGGGATTAGTAATTTGTATCAAATGCTTTGGAACAAAAAAAAACTATCAGATTCTCCACATGGCATCAAAACCCGATGTATTTTTTTATTGTTTATTAAATATTGGTCTACACTGCTCAGAGCATTTTTGACCTTCACCCCTATCGTCCTTTAAGTGTCTCTGCCTTCATCGCCCGAAACATATCACTAGCAGTCTCGTCGCTTATCGTTAGAGCCCAGCTGACCATCCTATGCAACAACAATTATTGATCAGCAGTCATAGTGTGCATCGAAGTCTTCTCCACAATTTCTTCTCTACAAAGATAATGCAGCTTTCAAGAAGTATTGATGACTTCATAAAGGATTTTAAAAACATAAAATCTTTTTTTTTTTAAACATGACACCTCAAGGACAGCTACCAAATCCTACAAGATCAAAGAAAGGATAGAAAGGAGGATAAATTACCACAATTTTCATTTTAGAAAATACCAAAAGGCAATAAAAGGTTGCAAGAAGAAGAATCTGAAGCAAGATGGGAGCAAGGACATGACAATGAATTGTACTCATTAACTAATTGAGGAACACAAAAAAGTTATATTCTGGAAGTTGAATAAAAAATTGAAGCTAATTAAGAGAAGAAGAGCGTTAAAGTCAGGGTAAACAAGTGTTAATCTAATTCACCCAATGCCATCTAATAGCCAAAGTTGATCCTCATATTCCATAAATGGCTTAGGAATAGGTAAGGATAGTAAGGGCAAGAGCATAAGGATTTGATTCAATTCAACGATCACATGATGATGTCTGCGATTGTTCTTATAGTCAATTTAAGAAACTAAAAGAATATAATCTCAAAGAGAACAACCTCAACGCATCCAAGTCCTAACCTTATAGTTAGATTAAGGAGGTAGAGATCAAGTTAACTTAAGTAATGAAGCCTCTAGGTATTGACGGCTTCATAAGGAATTTTAAAAACATAAAATTATTTTTTTTAAAACATGAGACCTCAAGGAAAACTAATTCACAAAAAAGTTATATTCTGGAACTTGCATCAGAAATTGAAGCCAATTAAGAGAAAAGGAGCATTAAAGCCAGGGTAAACAAGTGTTAAGCTAATTCACCCAATGCCATCCAATAGCCAAACTTGAGCAAGTTGATCATCATATTTCATAAATGGCTTAGGAACAGGATAGGACAGTAAGGGCAAGAGCATAGGGACTTGATTCAGTTCAACGGTCACATGACAATGTCTATGATTGTTCATATAATCAATTTAGGAATCTAGAATCTAATCTCAAAGAGAACAACCTGAATGCATCAAAGTCCCATCCTCATGGTTAGATTAAGGAGGTGAGATCCTGTTAACTTAGTAATGAAGCCTTAAGGTTATAATTAGCCAATTACCGAGCAATGTATAAAAAAGTTACCTGTTAAGTTCTTCCTTTTAATGTATATCATGTCATATCAGCAATCCACACTTATGATGGAAATGCAATCTAGAATGAATAGTCTTCTTGGGGTAGCTTTTTCACTATGCTTTTCAGATCACTGCCACACTTTCATTTGGCTATGATTTATTGCTTCATTTCTAAAATTTATATGGAGGGAAGTTATTTTTTTACAACCAGATATGCTAGAGTATGATAATTATAAGAGAGCTACTATCCAACTTTAAAGTAAAATTATAATGCTCACAGCAGCTTTCCCAGCTTTGCAAACACCTTTATAAAATACCATAATCGCCCAAACGAATTGAAGTTTGTAATCACTAAGGCTACCACTGATGAGGACATCGGAAGATCAACGGGTACGATCTGAAATTTATTTTATTTTTTATGTTTCTTATGTACTAGTTTATTTTATATTTTGTTTTTCCCATTTTACCCCTAAGGGGTGGTCATTTGGTGTTGTAGCCCGAAGGGCGTTTTAGTCTTTGCTATTTTTGTTTTCATGAGGCTTATTTATAGGCTAGCTCTCTTGTATTATGGGAAGATGATTGATTAATAAAATTCTGAGTTTTCTTTGTCACCCTCCATGTTGAGTGTTTGAGAGAAGAAGGAAAATCCAAGGTGTGGGCAATCACAATACTCGTCAACATTTGGAAGGGTCCGAGGTTTGCGGCTTTAATTTTTGTTTTGTTCCTCTCATCTCCTCCGACCCTCCCCCTCTCTTCCCCACCACCGGCTCAACCTCAACCTCCCTACCTCTGGCCACCCATCCCTAGTTCCCCACACCAACACCTCCCAAATGCCGTTTTACCCCATCCCGCTCCAGCCTAGCCCCAACCACCCCTTCCCGCCGCCCAGCTCCATCGCCCAGACCGCCTCCCCCCTAGCCCACTTCCACCGAAATCCTCCACCCTCCACTCCACCGCCGGTTTTCAACCACCCACCATCACCCCCATAAACACATCCTAGCCGCCGGCCCCTTGATCTTCAATTTGAATTTCAAATTCAAATTATCCAATTAATAGCCTTCCTAAAATAGCCCGATGACATTTAGGAAAGAGCCTTTATTTGGATTCATTTAGCTATTGAGATTCAAATAATTTCCTATTCTTCAAATCCTATTAGGAAACCTTTCTAATCTCAATTAAAATTCAGATTTAATTAGGATCATTAATTTTGACATCAGGACCCACTACTTACTCAAGCAAATCCCTCCTTTTTGTCCTTAGGCCGGCCCACCCCCTCTTCTTTTCCTTTATTTCTTTCCAATAATGATTCCCAATCACTCCTTAATTTGGAATCCAATTAATTCATAACGGATGGATCTTTTCCTGCTATTGATTGTGATTACCGGAAAGAAAATTCCCTACTCTCCCTGTAGCCTGAGCCGCCCCTTCTCCACCCCCTTCCCTCACATTTTCTTCCCGGGAAGGGATTCTTAATAGCTGTCCAAAACTTACAGCAGAACCATCCTGCTGTCAAACTTCTCTTGAAGGTCCGCCTTGCTGCCCAAGATCCTCCCGACGTGGCAAACAGCTGTCCCGCCCCACTGGTTGTTGTTTGGTATGTTGTTTGAAGAGTATCAGGTGCCAAAAGGTCTTCTCAACCATCACTTGTTGCTGTCTACACATCCCAGCTGCTGTCCATCAATTTTTGCACGTCTTCCAACATCGTGCCTTCATCCGGAAGGCTCCTATTGCTGTCCATACTCCTCCACCTGCGGAAATTAGTTGCCCAACAGTTTTGGTGAATTTCCAGCACTGTTGCTACTGTCCACAAATTTCTAGACTGTTGTCCCAACCTTGGGAACAATTATTACGTCCGGTGACCGGACGTAGCTCTACGTGCGGTCACCACTGAGTTACTAGGTATTTGCTCGGTATTGCTAGGTATTGCTTGGCAATAACGAGAAATACCACTCTGTGAAGACCAATACCGAGTAATACCGAGCAATACCGAGTTTTTCTAGAAAAAACTCGGTATTGCTCGGTATTGTTCGGTATTGCTCGGTACTTATCTTCACATAATGGTATTTCTCGTTATTGCTGAGAAAAATCGACAAATACGTGATTTTGTGCCTGCTACGTGGCGCGATCTCAGTACCGGCCGAACGTAACTCTACGTTCGTTCACCGGACCAAATTAAAGTTCCAACCTTGGAGAGTAAGGAGGATGCTGATTGGAAGCTTCCAACAACTGATTATTGCTTGATAATGGTAAACTCTTTTCCTAATCTCTTATTTCCTTCGTTACCTTACTTTGTGGCTTAATGGGTTCATATGGAGCTTGTTAATTAATCTCCGCTAAAACCTAGTAATCTTAGAGAGTTGAATGAGTGGAATTTCTCAAGGTGACTTGTCTCAGTGTTAATCTAGGGATATCTTGTTGAAAATCATTCATGCATGCCACGTTAGATTAAAATGATTGTTCTACGTTCTTAACTCCCATGCATGTGATTTAGCCTAAACTCGTGTCACCGTTCTTTGTGTTTTATTTTGTCGTTCAAAATCACTCTAAGGATATAATTATTGGGCTCTAAAAATTAAGCGTGCAAATTCATTAAGTAACTCATCTTCGCATGTACGTTTTACATCAACAACTCTGCCACTGATAGATCTACATCTACTAGATGAGACAAAAGAATGGTGAATGTATGTTGAGGGTCCCTACAGCTCATATTATTTTTATATTTGGTAAAAGTAAAACTACTGTTACAGCTCCCTCTCACCTTTCTAATGCACGCCATGCATAAGAATTCCCATGCACAAGTTTAAACAATTCTTGCCGCTCATGGGTGGGGTGAAAGGCTTACATCAAAGAGGGTTCAAGGACATAAGCTCACTGGGTAGAACACATCCCTGCCTGCCATGGCTTTATCACTGTTATAGTAAGTGATGAGACTAGAAGAAATTCCAAAAGTTGCTCAAAAATCTGTTCAACCAAGCTGCTCAATATGTGGTTCTTGGATGGTGTTGTACCAAAAACGGTGGGGTGGAGCATGTATAATTGAGATACAAATCATGACTGATTAGGCTAAATGGTTCACTCTGCAACTAAGAAAAGGAAGTTTCCACAAATCCTTTTTTAATTTGCAAGTACAAATTAACTTCATGGATTTTTATAATTGAAAGGAGGAGGGGGGTAAGGGGCACAAATTATAAAATTATATCAAAATGACCTTAGATTCGCTACTTATGCTTGGATCAATGTGCCATGACTCTTTTCTTTTTATGCAATCATTCACAACTAAGGTATACATTAACTTTTAGAAAAATATACTTGACAAAGGAGTAAATTGCCTCAAAGACTAGCACTACATGATAAGATCTGAGAAACTAGCTTCCAAAAAGCTCTCCATGTAACAAGTTGAAATTATAAAACTATATTTGTATCCAAATTATCCAAAAGTGTAAACAATAAATATTTTCCAAAGTCTATATTGCATATTATAAGAAAATTTTTTGATTTTATATAACACATTTGTAGTAAATATTTTGAGATTACAGTTGCCACAAATTAACTATATCCCATTGTCATTGTTAAGATGCCTCATAGCAATTAAATAAATCAAGATCACCAAAATGAAAATGGGAAAAACATAATTTTTAAGTGAACTGAACTTGGATGCCATGATTTGCATTGCATTAAAATAAAAGGTTGGCATTCTTATGAAATGAAGAAAAAGGATAAAATTGGAAAGATGTGATAAGAAATAGTTCAACTTACAATACAAGGCTTGGTTTCCATTATCTCTTGAAGTCTCCTCATAGCAGCAAGAGCAAGTTGAATGTTGGCATCAATAAACTCATCTGAAGATCCCTTCAGAGAGAGAAGTTCATAAAATCATTGGCATCAATAAATTGCAGGATCCATTCAGAGAAAGAAGTCTAGAAATCATAAATCAGTCATTTTCATCATACATCACATACCTTTCTCTAATTCCTATAAACGTAGCTATGTCAATTTTAAGAATTCTTTTCAACAAACTATGCCAGGAACACACGTTTATAATCCATCAAATAGATACTATTAAGTATACTGCTAATAAAAGTGGCAAAACTCTGTCATTCACATCCCAGCCTTCAAAATCTCAATTTTCATCCTACAGATCTTAGTATATCATATTAATCTGAAACTGACTAATATGTATTATTAAATTATTAGTTTCATTCTAAATTTGATTCCTGGCCAGTCTGTGTGTTGTCATAGTACCCCTCTTCTCTTTTTAATGCAAAAACTTACTGGTTGCCACCAATCCTCACCACACTAAGGATCCACACAACCTGTTACACCTACCAATCTGCCACCCCAACAGGCCTGTAGAGTAGAAAAGAAGATCTATTCCCTTCATGTTCCTAAACCTAAAAATTTGAATCAACCATTTTCACCAATGTCAAACTGCATGACATGGCTGCCACCTACCAGGCCATAGCATCCTGCATCAGCTTCCACATAGCTCGATCTCATAGAGTTGAACAATGGCATCTGCAGTAACCAATGCTTTAAAATTTATTTGCATCATGTCCATCTCTACAATCACGGGGCTGTCTCTAATGGCAAAAAAATATCATGTCCAAACCATCTCATGATTGTGAAATGATTTCAACCACTTCACATATCAAGGCACACACAAGTACATCGCTCCTTTTCAAAGTCACCTTAGTTTTATAAATATGTTAAATTAAAGGGTGTTGCAAAGTTTATCTTTTAAGATTTTCTAGATTTGATTCCTTAAAGAGAATAAAAAATGATATGCATTTAAGCTTCCTATAATACTTGAAAATCACTAACATTTTCAACCACTTCACATATCAAGGAAATCACAAGTACATCGCTACTTTTCAAAGTCATCTTAGTTTTATAAATTTATTAAATTAAAGAGTGTTGCAAAGTTTATCTTTTAAAATTTTCTAGGTTTAATTCTTTACAGAGAATAAAAAATGATATGCATTTAAGCTTCCTACAATACTTGAAAATCACTAACAATTAATCTCATAAAGTGTTACAGCTCAACTTGATTGAGAAGAAGCTCCGGACTCCATAAAAAATGCATCATTATTCCATTACATCCAACTGGCCCAAACTATTGGGTAACATGAACCAAAGCATAAATCTATAGGTGCAAGTCAATCACCTGCTATTTTTACACTAACATATTTTTCATTTGATGCAAGGTTAAACTCAAAACCTCATGCGCCATAAGAACCTCCCCTCATGTGAGCTCTCCACATAGACCATACTTCCTCTCAAAAGAGCTTTAAAAAGCATCATGCACCAAAAGTCAACTCAACCACATGGCGGCACATGGGAGTTAACCGCTCTTAAACTTTACTCAATCATAATTGAAAACGGCTAAGACCCATGAAATCCTCAAACCATAGGAACCACATAATCTCAATAGAGCATGCAACTTTGATATCACTAGTTGAAGAGAATGAATTAAAGGGAAACTAAATTTGAAGTAAATACTTCAATAATTAAATATTTTCAACCCAAAAGCTTAACCCTTTAAGTGAAGGCTGGCCATATTTGAAAAGAGAGAAATTATTTGGATTTTGTGTATGTTGCATCGAGAATCTCACATCCCTACCCATATAGTAATGTTCTATGGTACTCTAGGTATTTTCTACAAATGAAAACTACTAATTACATAGTGCTTACATGACAAAATTCCTAGGATAAAATTTAGAAATCTTTAACCACATTTCAATATATGCATCCATGAAAATAAAGGAAGAAATTCTACAAATAATAAATATTTAATTCAATTGAATACTAAGAGAGATTTCACCCTTCAAAAGCCAATGGATTGTCATCCTATCCACAAGGATGGGTTGCCAACTTGCAATCTCATGGATTAATAATTTGGCCCAAGGAATGCTAACACTGCTCTAGCTACAAAGTTGATATTTTTCGTGTCTGAGTTGAAGATTATATGTCGAGAGGTAGAGCTTAGTATTACTTTATTTAGGATGTCGACTAATTGATCAATTGACTTTCTAATTCCTCTTATTAAGTATTGATTGATTTCATTGTATTTAGTTCCTTCATACGAGATAGTGTGAGATGTTAATGACTAATATGTTGTATAAGTATAAATTCATAATATCCTCCCATTTTATTCAAAGTATTTAAGGATGATTTTGATCCATAACAATTCATTGATTCCCTAGGCGATTACTCTAAATTCAACTTTAACATTAGATTTAGTGACTACTAACTAATTCTTACTTCTTCAAGTGATTAGATTTTCACCCATAAAGGTGTAGTAATCGGTAGAAAATTTTCTATCTATGAGGGATCTTTCTCAATCAACATTTATGCATGATTCTAAATTGAGTCTTCCATTTCTCCTAAATAAGATTCTTTTCCTCAAAGTTGTTTTGAGGCATTGAAGAATTTTATATGACACATGTAGATGTGGTTCTTTAGAATTATGCATATGAACTGACTTAGAAAACTAATGGCACGTGTCATATTTAGTATTTTGCGGCCAAAATAGATAAGTTTCTTGATCAATATTTGATACCTCCCATTGTCAACTTATAGGCCTCTCCAAATTTATTGTTCTAATCCTCTGTTTTGTTAGAGAATTTTTGTATCCTCAAACGGATTGCATATTTTATAATCGAGTACGGCATAAGAACATGATATATCACCCCGAAGGGTAAAAATATCATTTCCTTGTGGACTCAATCATAAAATTTACAATTATTAACAGAGATTCCCCCACTCGATGTTTGGTCGACTGGGGTTTATTTATTTCTGGGGTACAGACATCCCATAGGGGCAAGCCCCTATGGTTAATTACATCCCAAGTTTGATTTGGGAAAACTTTTGATTAAACTAGTGATTTTTGCTTTATTTGAAAGTCATTTAGATGTTGGCTAAAGTTGATTTTTTTGTTGTTTTAAAATCCATGAAAGTCTTGCTTAAAGGGTTTTGGCCTTTAGGAATTTCAAGGAGTGGATCAACTTAGATTTAGATTTTTGGGAAAGAAAGCCAAAGGAGTTGAAGTAGGGGCACTTGATTCTGAGATGAAACTCAGAGGTGCCCAAACTATCCTATGTTGGGCTTTACATTTTAGCAACCTAATTTTGGTTTAAGTTGATATTTTTATTAGAAGATTGGGGCTTA